ACTCCTGTATAATACTGTGTTGCATGCATAGTCTATGTTGAGCTTTACATGTACATGCACTATACATTAACAATACATGTGGTACTGAAATGATGACTTTAAATTCTTGTGGTCTTGAGAGTTATTGTACTGGGGTCATCCTTTAACTTTATGGGATGCATGTACATGTTTTTTTAATAGTCAGCAACGTCTATACAATAACATAACTGATATAAAGTATCCCTGTTGTGATTTACTCATGAAATTTTTATTGTTCTTGTTTTTATTACCAAACAGAACTGTTCCTGCCTCAACTACTGCCAAGAGAAAACCAAAGCAATTAGAAGAGTAATAGAGAGAGGGGGAGGGAAGGAGAGATGGGGAAGGGAGGGAGGGAGGAAGGGGAGGGGGGAGGGAGGGAGGGAGAGAGGTGGGAGGGAGGGAGGGAGAGAGAGAGAGGTGGGAGGGAGGGAGAGAGGGGGGAGGGAGGGAGAGAGGGAGGGAAGGAGAAGTGAGGAAGGAAGGGAGCTACTTTCATGCAGTGTACAGTGTGTTCACATTTTCATTTCCTTTATCAATAGAGTAAAACTCTCAATGGTATCAAAGACAGGCTCACCAGTGGATGAAGATAAAGTAGTTGAGGTACATATACATGTACATGTAACTAAAGCAAGAGAAAGGATGGCAGAGTTGGAGGGTATTAATGCTGGAAGACTTCTTTAAAATTATAGTATAGCATTGTGTATATTACATGCATATATATACACATTAGAATTTACAATTGTATACTGTTTCTCTTTTTAGGGCATGTTAAGTGGAGCTATTGATGAATTCTTAAAAGGATTAATGGTAAACCTTATCTTCTATTATCTTCATTTCTCTCTCTCTCTTCTCTTTCTCAGCCACATTTATCTAAGAAGGCTCAGTCCAAAGCTAATCAAGTATTTGAAGATTCGGTTTCTAAATTTAAAGAACAGCTTGTCCGAAAAGAAGGCGACGTTACTTTAGTGACACCACTGGTATCATCAACAAGATCCAGAAGGAAATGAAATAAAATGATACCCTCCTCCTCCTCCTCCCCTCCTTCTCTTCATTATTTTCTGTTAACTTGTTCCTTGACTTTCAGTATAACAAATAAATGTAATCTATTATTATTATTATTATTAGTCTATATGCATGTATGTAAGCCTTTCTTGCTATATGTGTTGGTTGGCATAGTAATGTCTTTGAAGTCCTGCCACTGAGTGTGGGGACTAATTTAATATAGTACACCTACTTATATGTACGTGTACCTGTAACAACAGCTAATCTGGTTATTCTTTTTCATTATCACATCTGTATAACCTAGTCTGTAGTAGCTCTCTATGCAAAGTGGACTTAGCTCAGTGAGTTGTATTTTCTTACAATGACTAATCTAATGTTACATTTTTTGTCAGGTGGGAGTTTATGGTATACATGTACACCAGCAAAGGATGAGTAATGTTGATTTTAGAGTACAAAATGATTGCTTTTGTTTTACCAATAGCTCTTGCATGGTAATAAAACAATTTAAGTATCTTTAATAGCATTTATAAAGGCAGCACCTTTTGTTTGATTGATAGATGTAGTACATTGTACATCAGTGTCATAGACTATCAGATTAAACCAGTCCCTATTGGGTATATGAATATCATTAAAGCTCAAGGCATGAATAAGCTAAATAGATCTATAATCTACTTAGACTATTACTATAGATATATTAATGCTATTGGGAGGAGGCTAATGTTATTATGTACTTTAATGTCACTGCATTAAACTTGTGGGCATATACATGTATATTACTTACTTCGATAAAATTCACCATCTGTTGATAGTCCACGATTTTATCACCATCGCACTGAGTGAATGAC